TCGTTTGAGAGGCTTTATTGAATTGCCGAAATCGTCTACTACGATTATGATACATGTGACTTGTTTTAATATGTTTTCAATTTTGAAAAAAACCGCTCTATGTGTGCTCCGCTGAGGAAATGGAAGACGACGCACGTGGGATGGATGTAACGTTACGTCAGGCTGGATAGAAGGCCAACTGAAAAACATAATCCGAATAAGAGCAAGTAACAAGAAGAACATCTCTTCCTGAATCATGTATTGTAGCCGCTAACAATTGTTCGTCTATGTCGAATGGACAGCGTGGCCTGGCCTGATACAGATTCAGTTCTATGAATACCATGAAACGTTCAGGTCAACAGATTGCTAGTAAACATGAAGCGCGATTTATTTCAACTGTGCTTAAAGCAAATCGAAATTAAAATTCAAAACGCGTCTAAAATAGCCGTAGGTGACAAAACCGTTCCGCAGTCGCTTTTCTTAAGTGCTTGTTGCTGAGGGTCGTACTTGCTGGTGAGGGAACTCATATCAGACGTCTACGGCACACGAATGTTCTGTGAGGTACAGTGCATTCTTCGCCATCCACTTCGCAACAAATAGGCCACTGTTCTCTTGGGGCCGTGATACGCGCATGAATGCAAGGATTAGCAACGTGCTAAAAAAGTATGACCAACCTATAAAGGCGCACAACTCCTCATGCTAAAGTAAACCTCTACGGCAAAACATAGAACTAGTATGCGTAACATTACTTTCAGAGGGTATAGTTTCTATATGGATTCTATATGGATATGTTAGCTAACCCAAGACAATAACTAGTAGTTATTTTCAAATAGAATACCTACCACTCTAATGCCCTGAAGACTAATCTGATCTTGCCAAAACGATTGAAAGCTCGTCGTGTAGAATTCAGCGAATTTTCACCAGCGGCTGTTTGATTATTCATGAATATTCGATATTGAAATTACTCAATGCGTCCAGCACCTATTAGGGATTGCCTGACACGATGGCAACGACGACGGTCCTATCGCCGCTTTGCCCTAACCTCAACGATTACTACAGCTACATCCGTAAGTTAAGTTGATTATCTGGAGAAAGAACAGATCGAATGACATGTATGATTGTTAACAACAAACAGGTAATAGATTCAAGTTGAAAAAAGGCCCATCGCAACAGTAAACTCCGCTAATAGAAACGGTCCTGACTTAAAATTGAAACGATTGTGATTTTGTTCACGAAGTCCTGAGATGCATTCAACTAAAACTAGATAAAAATTAATAACGCACCATTGTATTGCAGGCATTTTCTACTGCTGTACGTAATCGGCTTGTAGCTGGCTGGAGGCACGAAGTGTTAAAAATGCATGCACGATAATATTAATAACTAGTTGTTTGGGTGTTCAGAGTTCTGCCGAACTTTCGCACCCCCTAATCAAATGTACAACGGTGATGTTCGGCAAACTTTTGGCAGTTGCAGAAAACGACAATTACAGCATAAATGACAGGGCGCCCTTGAAAACAAAGGGCAGTCTGCTGTCATGAAAACGTCCTGGCGACGGCTTAAAAAGCACCGCCGAGTCTATTTCTAACGTTGTGGACCTTTTTGAAGCCACCCTGATACTAGACATGTCTTAATAGGTAACCAATATTAGATCTGCCGTTCTTTAGAGGGACTGACATTTCCATGCGGATCAAATTATCAACGTCTTAGCAGTTGTATTGGTTTCAGTATAACTACGTACCGAAAAATGCACTAAATTCATCAAGTCGTCTGCAGCACTCAGCCGAAAAAGCACCTTCGTTCACAGTGTACACCTGAGCTAGTTTACTGCCGCTGACAATTATTCTGCAATCTTCAGGACAGCGCAGGACACATGGCATATTAAAGCGAGATTACCCAATTGCATTATCACAATTCTCTTACTCAATACCGTTTCCGTGCTTGTTGTTGTCTAGGGACTTTTAAACAAACTTTTAAAGGCATTCTACTGAACTTGGGTGCAGTATCTAATTTCTCAGCTTTTTAGGTATCATCGAAAGGCTATTGAGATGCCAGACCATCTAACAACAGAGAAATGTGGGTTGAAGCTGCAATATGACAGCGTTTTTATTTAATGTTTCAGCTTAATTGCGACTTTTGGCAACTTAAACATTTTCTCTTCTTAATCGATAGAGATACTGTACTGTGGATCGTTGAAATAGAATACGTACTGTAAGTTGATAGTTACAGAATATTTTGGTTTAAAAACTTACTAACACTCTCGCAAACATACTTATGATGATTCAAAGAAATCATCTATCCTCTTTGACATTGTACAGGGTAGAATACAGGCAGGACGCACCCTATCCGTCTACGAATATGTTATTTAATTCAATCATAGAACTCAGATACGTCTCATTTAACGGACGTCGTCGGTATCTCGAAAGTTTAATGTGCGGCTGAATTTTGCCTAAATAAAGAGGCATCGTTCGGACCACACGTTTCGACAGGCGCTGGGAATAGGCTGTGCACTGTTGTATGAACTTGTATATTATCTTGCTTCCTAGATCATGCACAGAGATTGCTGCGCAAGTGTTTAGACCCTTAACTAACTAGTTCCTTTCGTGAACTAGTCGGAAACCCGATGGACCCAATGGTGGTATCTAAGTCCATACTTTCTGGAGCTGCATGCGTACTTGAAGTGCCCCAGCAAGCGCGATAAAATTCAGGGATAAAAAAGTGCCTGAGTAGATCTGAAGTTCGATAAGAATTACTTGTCTATATATGAGTTATTTCTGTACCCGCATGCAAGTGGTTCTTCCTGTAACTTGTATATTCGCATAGACGAAGACAAGCGTACGGTTTTACAGGATTGCTAACGAACACTTCCCTGTCTAGGCCCAATGGATCATACTTAATGCTACGGCATATTAAAAAGCTTCACGTCCCACGCTTAGGCAGCTCTAATTATAATATAGGTTGGATTTCCTTTAAAAAAAGTCGAGTTTACAGCTAGAGTTTAACTATGTATGCTTAGTGAATAACTGATCGTGTGTAGATACGGTAAACCTCTGTTAAAGTTGTTTGTTTCGTTATGATCTCTGACCTATATGAGCTTATTGCTCAGCTTATTTTGTGTATACTCATCTAGTGAAAATTTCAATCTATATAGATCAGAGGGAGCTCGCGAGCATACCACCTAGTCAGTCCGTGTAGCACGTATTTTCGCAATAAACGCACTTAGATTAGAATAATAAAGAACTACAGAAGTTATATATATATATATATATATATATATATATATTGTGCTATTTATATCACAGTAATAATAGTAATGATCGTTTACAGGTCCTATACCAATACATATCTAGTCATTAATTATAGCGGATGCACTAGCTCGCGGCAAAAGATGAGGCTGCGCAAAAATTGCCCCTTGTACATTGCCGCCAAGCTAAGCAGCGCACGTATCTCCAGTCCCAATACATTATAATATGATAATAATACGTAACGTCCGTCAGCGAAGTATTCGATTTGATTCAATAAAAAAAAAAGTACAATTGAAACAGAATCGACATTATGCCCTAATACACGGTAACAATGGTATTTTTTTTTCAGATACTATGGTCGCCGGCAGCCATTTGCATATTAACAGCAAATAATTTTAAGGTAAACACAAATTATATACAGTTGCTATTGATCGTTTAATTCAATGTGTGTGATCTGTTCGTTCATCGACTTATTTTATATAATTAGACACACATATATATATAATTAGTACATATATATATATAGTCTGAGACAATGCTTACCGCATAAAATTCGAAACTTTTGTTTTTATTCATAGTGTTTATTCCAAAAATCCTATTCTAGGCAGCTCTTGAGTAGAATTGCTTTTTATGATATGCTGATTAGTCAAGGGGGGAGGACATCGGAGGTTGGTCGGAGGCTGTTTCATGCAACCCGTTCAAGCTGTTGCAGCTCGTATGACGATAAAAAAGAAAAAAAAATACATTTCATATGGGTATTTTGAACCGAAGACTTACAGGTAGACATGATCACATCTTAGCACCGGCTGACGGAAATTGGCACAGTTCGAAGAGAAATGTTTGTTATTGAAATCGTACTGCTCGAGCAATAAACTCTTACTACAAGTAAATAATTAATAAAAACAGGGATTTTGTCACATTGTAAAATAGTACGCGTCAAAAAAGTGTATAGTGCGACCGTAACTGTGAACAATTTCTACAACGTAAGAAAGGACGCTATCGATATGAATTATAAAGTTGAAATTGATGAACAGAAAAGACAACTTTCTTCTTCTGATAAACAAAAAAAAAAACGCAATCGCTAGGGTTTTCAATACAGATAATTCATATTCAGTAAGGAGTAATGATCACCTCTAAAATAGTACTGCTATAACAACCTATCCTAACCGGCCAGTGTATGTGCAGGTTTCTTCATGGGTCCGCATACAAACGTCATCACATCACCGTTAACTTTTACGTTGCCAAAATGCCATAGAAAATTTATGCTTAGTTACAAAAGTAAGCAATAGTTTTTTTGGATTGGACACAAAAAAACATCGGTGCGACCTTCTAATCCATTTTTTGCTGGAAGCACAGTTGGACCACCCTCCATTTGATAGCCACTAAATATTAACAATGCCCCATTAATTGACTGAGGAAAATAAAGCACAAGATTTTGAGCATTACCTTTTTACTAGAGGAATAACATAATTTTCTCTCACTGCACAGTTTTATGATGGAATTAAACGAAACATAAATATACCATGCATTTACGAATGCGCAAAATCAACAAGAACAGCCGACCCTAGAAATCTGCAATTACTTCCTTTTAAACAAGACCTATACGTATGGTAACTAGTAATATTATATTTACATATATTGAAAGAAATCAGAATCGGTATCGGTACACGTTCGCCAAAGCTATACCCACTGTGAAACGGATATCCCCGAGCTCGCTAATTTTGACAAGCTGATTATCGGTGAGTTATTTGGCTTGACATAAAATTATTGCTTCCTTACCAGACTTATATCATTCTATTTAACGTAGTATCCGACCTACGATTAGCTGGGCTCTACGTCTATAGAGCTCAAACGCCTTTGAGCACTTATGATGGGATGCTTGAAGTTTTTACCAACAGGAGCTGAAAAAGATTTTGCAAGTTTTGTTTATAGCACACATAGAACTCGTAGTTTATCATTCAAAAAACCATTAGTGTTTGGTCATTGTTTATTGTGCTCGCCATGCACACGATAGGAATAAAACAATTTCCACACTTACGGCATGTGTACTCCGAATTCAAATCTTAAATAAGAAGAATACTTTTTTTTTCGTGCTGACACGGGCAAGTTATCAGCCACCCGATGCAGTGCCTATACAGGCCACGACGTAAATTTCATTAGATATCTGCTGTAGCGTGTCCAACGATATAGTTTTCAAGATGAATCCCTTGGCAAAGGTTTCTTTTTCTATCACGCCACTGTACAAATTTATTGTACCTTGACTATAGAAGCCGGAATAGTCATTCTGAAACTTCCATTCTTCTCTAAGCACTTTTTACGGCTTCCTGCCCCGAATAATGACGCCCCATCATTAGCGACACCCAAATAGAACTCAATTAGCAGTCATTTACTGAAGCGTTCTAATACTAGGCAAAAGCTCGGCAAACTGTTAAATAGCATTTTGTCGATTTTATTCGAAGAGATCTGATGCGAGGTTGATGAAAAAATACTTACGCTACCAATACGAACGGTAAGTGTTAACTTAGCTATTCGCGTACCTGTTACTTTCCCTTTACTGTAGGCCACTTAGTATTGTAAGAAGCTCTGTCTTCAGGCCGATGTGTCTGTCGTCCTGAGTTTTTTTTCGTTTCTGAGTTATCACTAATGGTACATACCTGTCCTATATCGCGTTGCCTCTTTTTCTCTTGATATTCGTATAGGCCCAGTGAAACACAAGTCGTAGTCCTTAAAATATGTTGCTTAATTTGCTCTATGTTCTAGTTTTCCGATCAATGTCCACTATCGTTTGCCATGAAACGTGCAATCTTACCTTTCCTTTTCAAACTTAGAGCCGCATTTGCTTCGAAGCAGTTACAGTATTTAACAGTGACCTGATCACGCTCGATCGGTTGACTAGCTTCGCTCAACTCAATCGAGATCAACAGACAAAACATTTTGTAATGTCCATTACATCTGTTTCCTTCGTCAGACACAATCGACAGTTGCGCTTATCAACCACTGCTCTGAGAGACAACCACGGTAATTGTCATTTTTCCAATACGCGTAGACAATAATGACGACAACAACAGCGGTAACAACGTCACCAATTGTGGTAATGTTAATATTTCCGTACAGGTTGATTATATTATCCCACTAATTGCTGTTCTGTTGCTGCCGTTAGGTAATAGTACACGTATGACAAATGTAAGACAACACACAAATACAGACATGTGGCAGGACTCGCGATCTTATTGAACACCGCGCAGCAGGCGGGCGTGCCGGCGAGAAAGGTTTTCGCGAGGAAACAGACAACAAAGGCCGCTGGGGCTTACCGTCTGGGCCGCTTTGGTTAGACTGCCTGTCGCTGCTACCGGCGTATCGTGTTTGTTGTTCGCAGTACTTTCAACGCTAGTGGCCCGTTTCCGAGTACAGACACAATCGGCTACGTTAGCCCGGCGGATACTGCCGCCGCTGTTGCTACACAGTTGCTGTTATTTCCACTCCCGATGTAGTCATGTCATTGTCGCCTTGTAGCGAGTGTGCATGTTCGCAATAGTTGTCGCTTTGTATCGTTACTCTATAGCTGCTTCCTAGCGCTGACGTTCCGTCGCTATCGTTCACGTAGTCTGACGCCTTGTTCACCGTAGTGCGTATGGTGTTCGCTACCGTTACTAATGTTAGTGTTAATTCGTCGACGTATGAAGATGTCCCTGTCTAGAGCAGCTTTACTCGGGCTCGATCGATTGCGCGGGTCGCCTGCCGCCTGACTCGGGTTCAGTGCGCGCCCCAATGGAGAGGGTCTAGCACCCTCGTTCTTGGCGCCCTTTCCATTCCTGTTGGTGAAAGGAGAAAGAAGAAGACGAGGAGGAGGAGGAGGAGGAGGAGGAGGAGGAGGAGGAGGAGGAGGAGGAGGAGGAGGAGGAGGAGGAAATATAGCCACGACGGCACATTGGCGTTCTTGTGCTATTGCAGTTGCTACGTGGCACGTGCTAGATAACGCGGCGGAATTAGTTTCCGCGAAGATCAGCTGAGAACGGCTAACTGCTGCTGAAGAAATGCAAGAGTGGATCAGAACACTGCGGTAATTCTGATAGAACTGATTCGAATTTGCTGTGAAACGGCGCAGACGTGCGCAGCTCCGTCAAAGACGCCTAGATCCAGTTGTAAACGATTAGCGCAGTTGTGACAGTACCTACAGTTGTGTTTCACGCAAGATTCATGTTAAACACATAAAAAAAGACACATTTATATTCAACTAGGGGAGACAATAAACAAATCCTGGTGTAGAAAGAAAAACCAGCTCGCAATGATAAGCCATAACCGTTTAACGTTGTTTCGACACAGCTTGCTAGAGTTGCATTCTCGGCTATGGCGATTTCCGCTGATCCTGTTACCTTTCGAGCTTCTGTTACCGCTGTTGTTGTTATTTGCGATGTTTTGTTTTCACTTCTCGGCCCTCAGAACGCGGCCTGCATGCCTATCCACTCGTTGTTATGCGATGGGTGCGAGACGGCAAGGGCGGACGCCCTTTACTGTTTCTGTTTGGCAACTCAGTAGCGAATGCTGATCATCTGCTAGTGGTAATGGTCGTTACCTTTAGATTATTCTACCAAGAACAGCCAGAGAACGAAGACCGAAAAAGTATTGCTGTTTCTTTCCTTTACCGTTGTTGTTGTTGTTGCTTCACGAAACGAGACTCTAGTCTACATGAGATGACGCTTGGTAACAACAACGACCATCCAGCAAACAATGCGGTAGACTCTGCGGCGGCGTTCCCTAACGGACCATGTCTCGGATGAGGACGGGAAGATGAAGAGTTATTGGGAGGTGGACATACGGTTCTGGGAAACACGGGAGGCGGAAAAAGACAACATAATTCCGCGTTTACTGCTAGTAATGCCGTTGTTGGTAGGCACTGCCATTGTTACTGTTATTGTCGCTGCTTTTCACGTAATTATCGCCGCCATTGTTTTCACTGGGGAGCTGTGCACGATAAACGGCGCTAAGCCCATTAGCCTCGTCAGCTCAGATTCCCCCATCCAAGGCCCGAGAAACTGCACACGCGTCCCAGGCTGCCAGCCTGCCAGAGCGATGTTACGTAGGCGGATAGCAGAAGCTCACGCAAGGAAGTTCATCGTGCGACTCGTAGTGCCGCAGAAGACTATGGCGGCGGGGATGAACGTGTGAGAAAGCTCGGTCTGCCAGGCACTGAGAGCTACTCGTATCCATAGATAGCAGCAGTATATAGAAACATATAGCCACACTGTGCATGCATACAGGAATCGTCTCCAGCATGTTTACTTCAGTGACGTTGATCATTCAGTCTACGATGTTAGAGTCTGATCGTGTGCATAGATTTTTCTATTAGTTCTCACGAGGATATTGTATATTTGTTTCTGTTGTAGCTCATTACAATTGAGACCAACGAATTATGTCACATTCATCACGTGTAACAAACAAATGTTAAACCATGTGCATGTTACTAATGCAGTAACATGCACTCATCAAGCATCATCACAGTTCTGCCTGTAGGGCTTACCATGAACTTTTTTTCGTACTTCTTAAGTCCCAGGATAGCCTATTGGCGTCGAGCCTATTTAAAGGGTCACTGACTCAAGACCAACTTTAGGCTTCTGCTTGTACTCGTTACGGTACACGATAGTCTGCCAGAGTCTAAAAAAGAGTAGTACATATTCCTAATCTGATGCGTAGTAAGCTTCGTAAAGGTGCAGGTGCTGTCTCGGAGGGATTAAGCTGCGTGAACTCGGGCATGAAGAGACAAAATACTACCATTAAAGTCCAAATAGGCTAATGAAACTGTTTCCCTGCTTGACTGTACCCTCATTCCATGCGCAACGTCATATGGAAAAATTGTCCGACGCAGACTATAAGTTCATATCGAATATTATTTACTGCGCATGGGTTGCTTTGCGACCTTGTACTTTCGTATTATAAAGCCCTCTTTCTCTCATAAATTCCCCTCTTTTACCTAAACCTCTACAACAGAATTGTCGTTCCGAGGTGGCCCTGTAGTTCACAGTAGAGGTCCCCATTTTATCAAAAGTGCAGTCACCTACTGCAAACATTAGGCGCTTTATAAAAGCGTAGCATGCAGATGTGGCGTATGCCATGAGATGTTCACGTCGCAAAACCATGCGTGTCTACAGCAACAGTAAAACGGCCTATGGGCGTTTCGAAAACGACAGAAAGATAACTATCACGGAGTAATCTCTCTGTGGTAGAAAAACCTATCTAGGCAGTAATATTTCCCTCGGCTTATAGACGGACTAGGACGTCTGACAGCTTCCAGGTCTAGGGTTTTTCTAAACACTGCTATAAAAACCATGGGATACTGTCGGCCTCGTAGCCACGCGCTTTTCCGGCTGTGTCTCACTTTAATTTAGTTAATCGTAGGTCTATAAATGCTTTAAAAGCAGTTATATTTGCATTATATTATAAGTGACAATTTCGAGTGGCGAACGAGCGCCAAGACTAATTTCTAGGGAATCCAAGTTGTGCCATAAAGTTGTATAACTTCTTTAGTAGAACGAAATCATATTGTATTAATTTCTTTGATACGTGACCATGATTTTAGCATACTTCGTTCGATATGGCTTTTCATCAATACGCGATGAATTGATGATAAATGATAATCGAACGTTCTAGCAAACGACCGTGATAAGTTAGCAGATATATACGCAATCTATAATTTTTTTAACTTCATAGTTTTTGTCCTTTTGTGTTGCATAGTATTCAATTTTTTCGTCTTGTCAATCTCTCAGGCAAACCTTTAGCAAATTTGTTGGTTTATTATAAACGAGTGCAAATATATCTATCGTTACTGGCGATTGCCTGTTTATAAACAAGGGCGTGTCGTTAAGCATGAAATTTGCCTATTTTATAATATAATAATCGAACGGCTAACTTGATGGGTCGATTGTATGGTAACCGTGTAACAGTTTAACAATTTACAGGAACTTACGTTTCTCCCTCATCGTAAGACGGAAATAAATATCTATTATTATAGTTGCTGCAGCACATTTCGCAAGGCTCGAAGTGCCCTTGGATGTCGACCCGGCATTATTACCTAAAATTTAACTTCTTTAGATTCAGCTTGACTTCTCTCAGTATCCATATGAACTAAATTGATTAAATAAACGGTATATCTTTTTGGCGCGTTACTAGCAGTGCTACCCCGTTGAACGGTGTATAGTTCCAAGGAAGAACTATAGAAAATTCGAATGAAGTTACGCTCTAGCTTTGGCTAAACAACCTCATAATACGATTTTTCTTACATGCGGACAAGACAAGTCTGAATATATCAACTGATTAGAGATAAGGTTGAATGTGTCGTAGAGCGATATGGGCAACTATACTATAATTACACCGCATCGCTTTCAACAGAGGGTATTCTCTTGGTTGCAAGTAGAGCATCAGTGCTGAAGTTACCCTAGCTTCACTATAACAGTCACAAATGTGAAGTGTTTACGTGAGTCCTTCTTCTCAGGAAAGCTTCAGTCTAGCGTCAATGGTATGACCTCGTATATCAACGCACGTTGACTATATTTACGGAGTACCTCCTCGGCTAAAAATAGATAGCGTACACGTATTTGTAGACGATCACTGGCGTCATTGTAGCACATTTCTAAAACTATAAACGAAACTTTTAGTTCGTCTAGTTGACATGACGGCATAGTAATTTCGTTAGGAAGAACGACTTCGTCGAAAATAAGAAACTATAAATCGTTACGGCGCAGTGAAACTACAAATATATCCATTTTATATCGTTGTACTCCATTGGCTCAAAAGTAGCAAACTAGTATGCCATTGAATCGCGAACTTCTAAAAGAGGTTTTGAGTGTACTTGAAATAATGGCGTATGCCGTGGATTGATGATCGGGTCTTGTGTGAAATCAGAGGATAAAACAATAATAGAATAGAATCTCGAGAAGCTGCCGACTTTATATCCTAGCTTAAGGCTGATATATTTTAACTATACATGTAAACACCCTTATTTTACGTGAGCCTACCCACATTAGGAGGAATGTTTGTCAGTTAATGATGCCTGATAGCCGAAGAAGCTTTAAATTCACGTATCTTGGGTAATCTGGGTCGCGTTGTTTGAAAGGTTAGATTTAGCAGTAATATAATGATCAAAATACCTGTATTCAGACTTATGGTATTTGAAGATAAGTGAGACATCTATGAAAATCCGCTTTATTTTATAATTGAATATTGTCGAAGTGCACCTACCGTTTAAACCCGTAAAAAAATTGTGTTGTATATGGTCATCGTGAATCGCCTTCCGCCATAACAATGCCAAGCGACACATATCATTGGCTATTCGACAGAACTTCAGTGGGAAGTCTCAATGCATTTGCCATATAGCTCGAATCTTGCACCATTAACTACGATTTGCTTTGGTCGCTGAAGGACTTCTTTGAGAACTTCGTTTCAATGGAGGGATGTAAAAATACTTTATCACAATTTTTCGGCCTGAAATCGAAACGCTAGAAATATCATCGATAGAAGGCGCATACTTACTTTTAGTAACATTATTCTAATGTATATGCTTCAGATTTACCTTAGGCAACCTAATATAGGTATTTCGTATGGTAAGGTAAGTGCTAATATCACGGTATATGATTATACGACTGTAGTAAATACATTTCTATTTAACTATATAT